TTTATTGGACGGTGATTGCCTGTGTTTATTCTGTGCTCTACCAGGTTTGTGCATCCGAGGTCATGATCTCCTTTCGAAAAGACATCAGCAAATTTCTGCCAAAAGTTCTTTTACCTGAAGAGCCTGTGATGATGACAAATGGACTATACTCTTCTTATAGAGGCCAGTCAAATATTCTGGAAGTGTATGTCCTTTCTTTACAGTTGTATTCCTTGCTTTAACATTGACTGGCTCTACCTCCTGGCACACACCCAACAATGCCCCTTCCTTAAGTGTCTGCTCACTTTTAGAGAAATTGGCCACTGTTATAGGTACTACTTGATGACCTGCTTCAAGTGACCTTCCAATCTTCAAATCCTCTGGCCTGGATGGGTCTTCCACTGCTTCTACAAGCATTGGGCTTCCATGGGGATGTTCTTTTATCCTACCCCAAATTATCTTCTCTGACATAGGGGGTATTGTAGTTGATTTAAGTACTGTGACATGCAGATCAACAGATGTAGCAACACTTACTGGAGTCTGGACTTTGTTGTTTCCAATCGTCATTTTATCGAAATTAACTACACACTTTCTCGGTAGTAGATAGTCAAATCCTAATATGCATTGGTCTTCAATGTCAGCCAAGTATACTTTCTGTCTGTTCTTCATGCCCATGAGCTCGATAGTTACCCACACTGGTCCCCACAACCTTGCAGAATGTCCTGTCACACCACAGAGCTTCTGTACAGCTTCTGGTACTCCTTTGTTATCCAGCACCTTGATGCTCACAAGGGTTTGCTGAGATTCAGAATCTATGACAAAGTTACACCTTTGGCCATCCAGCTTCCCTGTCACGTAGATACTATGTGTGCTTGCCATTTTTTTTTTATCCCACTCTCTGACACCAATTTGTTATGTCTCCGTTCGTTCGTTAATTAATTTTCCGTAAATTCGTTCTTCATTGTAATTTGGTTATAAGTACTTTTAAGTCCTGTAGCTTGTTTGTATCACATATAAAATATGATCATTAGTTAACTTGTCTTCATCCTTCATAATTAGATTTTCAAACTGTACTATAGAAAGTAATTAACTCTAAATGTGATCTGCTGTATGATTAGCATTATCAAATTGTGTTCTTTAATATAAATATAACTTTAAAGAATATGAAAATATTTTTTTGTTTTTGTAAAAGAATCCAAACATGCTCAACCACAGAAAAGAGCTTTGCATGGCAGAAAATCTGCTAGTACAGCAGCCAAGGTTCAACTCATGAAATTGAAGATGAAAGCTGTTGGGGACAGTAGTTTGTCTCAGACTGAAAGAATATACTTTCAAGTTTTTCTTCCAAAAAGACACACAGACAAGGAAAAAGCATTTTATTTTTCAAAAGTAAGTATTTAAATGCTTATGAAATCCATTTCGTTTTTAAGAAAGTATGAATAGATATAAATATTATTTTTTATTTATTAGAATTTAATTAGCCAAGGATAAATATTATTAACTCTTTCAGCACAGTTTCGGTCCCTGGGACCGACCTCATAACCATTTTGTGCTTGTTATAGTTTTCATGCTACAATTTTTAAATTAGTAAGCAAATGTTAACAAAATTTGGCATTTTATCAGTAAACATTACAATGCTTTCATACACAAAATATATAATTTTTTTTAATAAGTTTTAAGGTTTGTAAAGCAATGTTTTTCTCGTGTCTTTTTTTTTCTTTTCATATGTTGCCTATCTATCATACAAAGTAATTTTCATTTTAAGATTAAAAATACTTTTAAGCATCAGAAAATTTTCAAATTTCACATGCAAAATCTTTATAATGTCCAGATAGTTATCAAATGTTTCTTAAGAAAAAGCTTTATATTTTAACTGTTATTTTGAGTAATTAATCTCTGTACGGGTTTGGTAGATTTGACCGATCTCATAACCACCATAAAAAATTAGGATATAAATATAAATTATGCCTCTTTCATTCTAGAATGAACACAACTTATAACATGAAAACATAAATGTTTAGACTAAATAGCTTAAATCTCATAACATTATATATTTATTATTTATTCAGCTGTGCCTGGCTAACAATACAGAAGTTACAATGACGCGGCTCAAGTGCACTCATGTTACTGTATCCAATAACATAAAACTAACCCTTGGTCTGTGCAAAGTAACTTGTCTTGGCTGTATTTTAGTAGACTAGTATTTTATAAAATACAGTCACATTTAAATTATTATACATTATATATGTATACAGATTATTGCTATTTTGAAATAAATTCTTAAACTTATTTTTCTTAAAACATAGAACAGTAACTAAAGAAGTAAAGCAAACAATTATCTATTCTAATTATGACCTTTGGACTTGGTTGTCACTTGACGTAGGTTGCTAAGCCTTTAAAAAATTGCACAAGGAGGATATGAAATAAAATATTTTTTTTAGGTTTTATATATACATTTGAATAACTAAAAAATCATAACTTACTACATTAATACCATAGAATTTCACTATAATTTATAAAGCTTAGTAACTAAGATGTATTTTAGTCTAAAATAATATAAAATTATGAGCAGACTAAAGACACTTCCTACCTCGTTGAAATATTTGTTCAAAAGAAAGAAATGGCACCAAGGCCATTAAGATAGCTGAGAAAGCCACTAGGAGGACATTCTGAGCTTACGATTGATTACTCATGTCATATATAGAAGTAAGTGTATATAATGGAGTGTTTCCAAAAATGGAAAGATGTGGGCAGGGTGGCACTGTGTTTGATTTATT